GCAGAATTCATGGTTCCATTTATCACAGCAAGTCTTCCAGGTCCTGAAGCAGCAAAACAGCCCCAGACCATCACACTACCACCACCATATTTTACTGTTGGTATGATGTTCTTTTTCTGAAATGCAGTGTTACTTTTACGCCAGACGTAATGGGACACACACCTTCCAAAAAGTTCAACTTTTGTCTCGTCAGTCCACCGAGTATTTTCCCAAAAGTCTTGGGGATCATCAAGATGTTTTCTGGCAAAACTGAGACGAGCCTTTATGTTCTTTTTGCTCAGCAGCGGTTTTCGTCTTGGAACTCTGCCATGCAGACCATTTTTGCCCAGTCTCTTTCTTATGGTGGAGTCATGAACACTGACCTTAACTGAGGCAAGTGAGGCCTGCAGTTCTTTGGATGTTGTTGTGGGGTCTTTTGTGACCTCTTGGATGAGTCGTCACTGTGCTCTTGGGGTAATTTTGGTCGGCCGGCCACTCCTGGGAAGGTTCTCCACTGTTCCATGTTTTTGCCATTTGTGAATAATGGCTCTCACTGTGGTTCGCTGGAGTCCCAAAGCTTTAGAAATGGCTTTATAACCTTTTCCAGACTGATAGATCTCAGTTACTTTCTTTCTCATTTGTTTCTGAATTTCTTTGGATCTCGGCATGATGTCTAGCTTTGGAGGATCTTTTGGTCTACGTCACTTTGTCAGTCAGGTCCTATTTAAGAGATTTCTTGATTGCGAACAGGTGTGGCAGTAATCAGGCCTGGGTGTGGCTAGAGAAATTGAACTTCAGTTTTAAAAGGGGGGGCAAACACTTCTTCACACAGGGCCATGTAGTTTTGGATTTTGTTTTCCCTTAATAATAAAAACCTTCATTTATCTTTGACTAATATTTAAATTTGTTTGATGATCTTAAACATTAAAGTGTGACAAACATGCAAAAAAATAAGAAATCAGGAAGGGGGCCAACACTTTTTCACACCACTGTACATCATCTGCTGGAACGCCACTCTCACGTGAATGTGAGTATCACAGTTTATAATGGTTTATAAAGTTATATAGATATTTTTCTTACACAAATGCAATTCTTTGCTTCAGGAGGCCTTTATTGTGGAGCACTTTTATGATGAATGCACTTAAATCAGATCGACCCCCATTCACTGCCATTATAAAGCTTGGAAGAGCCAGGACATTTTTTACTATTAACTTGTGATGCTCATTTCTATTTTTAACATTTAGATTACCATCGGCTATAACATTTACTTTTGCTATAATCTGTAATAACAATAATAAGTATAACACTGTTAAATGTATCTTTAGCAAATCTTTAACAAATCTTAATATGAATAATAATTTTTCATATTGTACGTAATAATATGATGCCTAAATTTACATGTGGTATTGAAAGCAACTGATTTTAGTATTTTATTTTTTTTTTATTTGTTTATAATATTGAAAATATGGCCATTTATTGGCAGTGTTATTTTTGTACTATTTATATACTATTAAATTACTTATTAATATTTTGAATTAGCTTTTTTATTCATTTACATATATATATATATACACTGAACAAAATTATAAATGCAACACTTTTGTTTTTGCCCCCATTTTTCATGAGCTGAACTCAAAGATCTAAGACTTTTTCTATGTACACAAAAGGCCTTTTTCTCTCAAATATTGTTCACAAATCTGTCTAAATCTGTGTTAGTGAGCACTTCTCCTTTGCCGAGATAATCCATCCACCTCACAGGTGTGGCATATCAAGATGCTGATTAGACAGCATGATTATTGCACAGGTGTGCCTTAGGCTGGCCACAATAAAAGGCCACTCTAAAATGTGCAGTTTTACTGTATGGGGGGGGTAAAATGCCATCAATATCCCACTTAAAAAGATGAGAGAGGCCTGTAATTTTCATCATAGGTATACCTCAACTATGAGAGACAAAATGAGAAAAAAAAATCCAGAAAATCACATTGTAGGATTTTTAAAGAATTTATTTGCAAATTATGGTGGAAAATAAGTATTTGGTCAATAACAAAATTTCATCTCAATACTTTGTTATATACCCTTTTGTAGCGTCTGCGTAGGATCATGCTGGAGTGTTGGACTGTTTATGGCTTAAAAGACCCTTTTAGCCTTTTGACATTTGCATATAAATTACAGTTCTGGTCAGAGATGTTACTTGTATAGGGGTTGTAAATTGCCAAATGGTTCTTCGCCGTCAAAAAGATTAGAACCAGCCCCACGAGAATCCTGGAATCTTCTGATCAAAAACATTCCACAGAGAGCTGTGAATGGCCAAACGAACACGCACACACCCAAACTAACACACACACACACATACAGACATTTCTTTATTTTAGACTATAATTAATCAGTTATAATTGTATCTGGTATATGCATGTGGTGTGCACATTCCCTTTGTTAGATTAGATGAGTTACCACTCGTTATTTGTATTAGTTAAAGCCATAAAACACTTATATTCAGGTGTATGTGTGTATCTTTGGTTTAATCTATTCCAGATTATTGTTTCTTGGTATCAATGTCACCCGTTCTTCATTTCTCGGACAATGACGTATAGTATGTGATTGTGAAACGCATCATATGACTCGCACGATATTTTGGGTTAAAACTACGGATGTTCCAGACCGGCCATAAAGCATGCAAATGAGCCATAAAACAAGAGACAAAGACGATTCTCCCGCTCAAAATCCATGTCTCTCATTGGTCAGCACACACAGAATAGAAATTCTCAAAAGCGATCAGTCCAAAATAACTTTGCTCAGAAAACTTCTTCTTCGTTTGAGACAACACCTTTCAGGACTCTCAAGACCTTCCTTTTGAGTTTTATTTTTTTTACTTTCTTACTTTCAAGTAACGTTAGTCGCTGTGGACTTCTTCTTCAGAAGAACCAGAAGTAAAAACTTCCAGCTGCGAACTCATCAACTCATCAAAAGACCTCCGTTATCTACCGCATCCGGACTCTTTTTCAGCAATCGAAACCAATGCAAGTAACCGCTTCAAATTATTCAGATGCGTGTTTAAATCTCAGTCTCTTTTAAGGTGATTATTGGATTCTTTGATGATTTTCAGAGGTTGTGGTTAAGTGATGTGAAATACTGCCATTCTTTTCTATTCTCTATCTTTTCCTTACTTTGTTTCATTCTGTGTATATATGTTTTAGTTAGTTATATGTTAGATATAGTTTCATTTTATTAAATCCCTTATATTCACAACGAATTGTCTCTGTTTACTGTTCACAGTTCCAAGTCAATGAATGTTTGAACCTTTGCTACATTTGGCTAAGAATTACTGCTAGCACTGCACAAAGAAGGACAGTTTATTGTTCCGTGGCCAGAAAATAAATATTCCTTGAATTGATAAATGATTATATTGTCTGCTCGGTGGACGGACAGATCAAATAATTGTAATATTGATTCTGCTACAGTTAATTCGAAGATATAATCTAAATATTTATTATGAATCATAACCAGTTATGATTCGTCATAAATATTCCCCTTTTTAGAGCTAATAAATAATAATAAATGTTACATGTTTTGGTGGAGACGCCGGGGAATATTCAAACTTGGTTTGTGAACAAACAGTATCAATTTAT